ACGCGCCCCGTTACCCCCGGAGTCCCGCCCGCCCGCCCCTCCGTGAGGCGTGCTGGCAGCCAGGCATGTCACACAAGCCTCCCCACCCGTCTCCCACTCCCTGACCATCTGCTCCCTCTCCAAGTCCCAGGCCCGAAGCCGGTCTGAGCTTCCCCCCGTCAGGAGGAGGCCTGCACCGTGGACCCATTTTGTGACAACGCCGAAGCCACGCCCCACGAGTGCGTGGGCGAAAAAGGCTGTCGCCAGACGGGGGGGAACCCAGTCCGCCCCCGTCGGGACCACCCCGCTCCACACGCGGACGACCCCCTCATCCGTCCCGGTGAGCAAGAGGGAGGAGGTTGCCTCGTTCAACCAAGCCAGGCTTGTGATCCTCGATGCCTTGCTAGGAATCGGCTCGTTCCTGAACACGCCCAGCTTCTTCCCGTCCTCGTGATTCCATACCCGGAGGTTGGCGTGGTCGTCCGAGGCAATCAAAAGCGGCTCGAAGGGGTGGAACAACAGTTGCGACGTCATTTGTGCGTCGCTTTCAAATACAACTTTTTGCTGAAGTCGAAGCACCTGGTTCTTACGCTTTACAGTATCTCCCATGCTCTTCGTTAGCGCGGTCTTCTTCACGTTACCTTTTCGAGCCCCAGCCGCGCCATCCATCCCCTCGCGTTGCGCTGCCAGCAGTGCATCGATCCCGCCCAACATGAAGTACAGGTCCGAGTCCTCCTCCTCTTCCGGCATGCCCAGGACCCCCGTGCATTTCAGAGTAAGGGCCTTGGCCTCCTCCAGCACCCGCTGATTCCGTGACCGTCGATAGAGCGCCACCTGTCCTTCCGGTGACAGCGGGTCGTCTTCCTCCCCTCCGGGACCTTCCACCGCAGAGAGGGCAGCGGGGGCGGAGAGCTGCTTCTTGCTCCAGGCGTATATGTTCGTCCTTTGATACTGGACACGTAGCCATTGCAAAGAGGGGGACTCGGCCAGGGCTGTGGCCGTGGCCGAGGAAAAGCGGGCGGAGGAGGCTTGTCCCATGGCTGTGGAGTCGTCAGGGGCCGCCAGAGATTCGTGGCGGATCAAGGGCACTGAGCCCGGCATCTCTGCCCTCCCCATAAGCCCCCCCTTCGACTGCTTCAAGCCTCTGGCCTCGTAGCTGCCACCCTCGAAAACCTCTCCCGACCCTTTCCCCTTTAGGGTGTTTCCCCCTGGCCCCGTTCCCGAAGCAGATTGCAAAAGGGAGGAGGCCGCTGACGGTCTCGTGCTGACTCCTCCACCTGGAATGGGTCTATCTGACGGACCACTGGGAGTCGTGGTGCTGTTTCCGAGGCCTGCATGCAGGTGATTTGTGCCTCCGTAGGGCGAAGCGGTGCTGCGCCCGGCAGCTTCACGCAGACCCGTCGGAGGGGGGCGGGCATAGTCCCCCTGGGGAGTAGGCAGACGGGCAAGCTCGTGCGCCGAGACGGCACGCTCCAGAGGAACGCGGTTTGACGAGGAAAGATGGGTGGGGGCAGGACAAGTCGGCAGATTATTCACGACATGTTTTCCTGACGACAGCCGGTAGTGGCCGTCATGCCCACGGTATGTATGTTGCTGTTGCTGCCGAGATCGAAGCTGTTGTTTCTGGGAGGAGGAGGCATTCGGATTTGCCGAGGTAGGGGGGCTGCGTGGTGGGATGCCGGACGGGTGGGGAGGGCGAGGGGGAACCCGCGGTGGATGAGAGGTTGAAGAGAGTCCAGGAGAGGCGAGGAGCGAGCTCTCTTGCCGTCCTTGCTGCTGTTGCGCGTCGATTTCATTTTGTTCTCGCTTTTCATGGTGCAAATGATCGTGTCGTGGCTGCGGCTGCTCCTCTGATGCTTGCTCTTGTCGGTGTTGCAGCTCCATGGGGGATAACGTCATGGCGGAGGCGGTGGAGCGTAAGGGACGAGCGGAAGCACCCGGGAAGGCCACATTCTTGCTTGGATTTAGGTTCATATCCAGCAAGCATTCGTGGACCAAGTGTACGATCTGGCCAGCAACGTCTGCGACAGGCGGAAAGGGCTCTTTTTGATGCACTTGTCGTATCGCGAGCCAAATGAGCAGATAGTGTTCGCCTATCTCCCCAGCTTTCCTCTTGAGACGCGCCGCCAAGGCTTGGCACCACAGCCTCTGCCCCTTGTCCCGGGCTTCCTGGTCCCTGTCATTTTTATTCCTGCTGCCTGTCCTCTCACCGTCTCTTTCTTTTTGCTGCGATGGCGACAACCCCAAGGCACGATCCTCTTTGCGGCCCTGGCTCTCGGCCTCCTCGTCCAATACCAAGCCTACCATTGAGGACGTGGAGGACGAGGCATCCAAGGATGCAATCGAATCGCAGCTTCGAGACTTCTGCATTGTCCCTTTGCCATCCGTTTGCCCAGATTTCCTCTCTCCTCTGATCTGAGACTCGCGGGGATACTGCTGCTGTTTCTCGGCGTTGAACCGTGTCAGCTCGTGCGCCACCCACACGAAATAGGGGAAATGTGTGCTGTCCGTCACCAACAGGAAAAGCGCGAAGATTGCTTGCCGCCTGACCATGGGACTTACGTCGTCGAAGGCTCGAAGCATGGGAAGGCCAATCACCGACACATCCGTCTTCCGCGCTGCTTCCAAGTCAATAGATGCGGCCCGCCCGGTCGACGGCGACCGCCCCCCGCCCGGCGAGCTCCCTAAGGTCCCCATCTCAGAGGTAGGCGAAGACATCGAGGACAAACTGCTGCTGCTGTTGTGCCCCTGTCCTTGCCCACTTCCACTCTCCCTCCCTGCCCCTCCCCCCGGGTGTCCGCCGCCACTCCCCAAGAACGTGCCCAGCGTGTGCACAGCTGCCGCACGCACCGCGACGTGTGGGGAGCCGAGCAGGCCAAAAAGGTGTAAATGAATGTCTTCCCGCAAACAAGCGACCTTGCCTTCCACGTAATCAAAGGCCAACCGACCAAGACAGAAGCATAACCAGCGCCTGAACTCGGGCATGCCCTCGGTTTCTTTCGAAAACAAGAAATGAGCACACGTCCGGTGCACGCCTTTCTTCAAGCAGTCCCGCTGCCCGGAGCGCGACTCGTCCATGATGGCGCTGACAATGAAAGCGGCCAATACCCGCTGCTCAGGTCGAATGTCCGCGCCGGACAAATGCCCGATGAAATACAAGTAGGCATTGTCCTTGACCAAATCCGAGCGGCAAGACGGGTCAAAGGCAAGTATTCTCGCCCAAATGCAGACGAGGACTTGCCGGAGTTCGGGGGCGGGGCTCTGTAAGAGTTTGAGAACGTAAGGGAAAATCCCCACGGAGAGGGCCAGGTTGACAGCCCAGGGGCCCAGGTCGAGAAAGCGACGGAGGAGAAGGAGGGCGCGGAGCCGATGTGCTTGGGATAAGAGGACCTGGAGCACCACGGGGAGCTGGTCTGGGGGCTTGGACGGAGGGGCTCCGGTGGGTGCCATGGTGGTGTACTCGATCCATACCTCGAAGGCTGTCAGCTGGTCCGCAAAGAAGGTTGTCGAGGAGACCGAGGTAGGAGCATTGGAGAGGGAGGTGGAGGTGCCGGGGGGGGGCGAGGTGGAGGAAAAGGGGGAAGGATTGGTGGTGGAGGCGGTCACCGTGGAATAGAATCCTGGCCCTGCGGAGGCTGAGGCCACCAAGCGTGCTTCGGCCGAGCTCATGGAGACCAGGCTCGGCTTCCTGTTCACGACAAGCTGGTGCAGACAGCACTCAGCCGCCAGGTCCCAGGCCTGCCACAGGGGATGCTGCGCCGTGGAGGGTAGCCGGGGGATGGAGGTGGGCGTGCAATTGAAGGAGCGGAGGATCCGATCGGCCAGGAGGAAATTGCGAAACAGGCTGGCGACAAGCAAGTCTTGGCGGAAGAGGTACTGAAAAACGGTCGAAGGCAAGGTGTTCCAGGCAATCGTGTCCGTAATGGCGGTGAAGATCCAGTTCAACTCGCCCAGAGGCGTCTTCCGGTCGTTCAGTTTCCCCGGGATGTGGTCCACGAATTCCACGTCCACCTCGGCCATGGAGAGAGGGTTCTGGGCGATGAACCAGCGCAGGGCCACCAGGATGGGCGTGGTCAGGCAGGACGTGAACAGGTCCGCGGGAAACTTGTGGTTGATGAGGAGAAGCTCGTTCGCCGCACAGGGTGCCAAGACAATGCAGTCGCGGTGGTGGGCACCACTGCTGTTGCTTCGGGGTCGCGACGGCGGCACGGGCGGGCCGGAAGGGGGAGGGGGCGGGGGGCCGTCCAAGCCCCCGAGCCCGGCGGTCCGGGAGGACGCGGGCATGACAGGGGTCTGCAGAAAGTGGGGCAACAGGATGCCGGCGCCCGAGCAGTCCAAGACATAGATGGCCGGCGTGCCTACCCAGGCCCTCAGGTCGTAGATGGAGAGGGGAATATATTGCGTGTACGTCTTGTTGAAGACCCAGATCTCCCCTGCCGAGGTAGGACGAGGGACGCCATGACCGTTGTAGTGGAAGAGAAGGCGGTCTGTCTTCGCATTCCGTCGGAGAGAGGCGCAAAGTTTTTTCACGTCCTCGATCGTGGGGTCCAGAGCTTGTTTGTATTTCGCACGGGCCTGCCACCGTTCGTATTGCTGTTGCAGATTGTTCCCAATCGTTTCGATAGCCTTGCTCTTGCTCGTGGTGCGCGGGTCAAACCAGCACTCCATCCGTGCGCAGGGTGTGATTTTCACCATGTCGGGCGGGTCTGTCCCCACATTCAGGCAGAGGACCAGGGCCACGCTGACCGTCTTCATCCGCTCCTTCAGGCGCCAGGTGATAGGAATGTCTTCGTATGCCGCCCGGACAGAGGCGTACGACTGGCGATAACGCTCCTCGTTTAAGTACTCAGGGCTTTGCTGGGACGTCATATGTGCTTCGAAGACCATGTACCCTTGCACGGCAAGTTGCTGCTGCGTCAGGGATGATACCATGGAAGACATGACTGTGGAGAGGGACGATGGGGCATCTCGAATTCCCAGAGGAGGACTCGCAGTGCTGCCATTGCTGCCAGTGCTTTCGAGAGTGGTGTTCATGCTTGTATTTGTATCTCTTTCGCCTTGTTTCTTTGAGCCTCGGAAATCAAGTCTCGCCCCGGACGGCTACTCGAGGCGTCGGGAGTCACCAGCCGGCACGGCCAGGATACGCGAGGAACAAATATCGCAAGCGCTTTAGCATGCATACATCCAGACAAGACCTGCAGATGTACAATAAGAACGCAAGGCAATGCAGCGACTATGGCGCCAAAGGTGACACAATGCTTAGGAATTAGAGGAGTCTGGCATGCTGCTCAGTCGTGAAGTGAAGAGACATGTGCCGCGTGACTACACCCAGAATTACCACTTATCGTCCTGTGGGCTTGCACCAATGTGGATGGTAGTGATGCCATGGACAAACGGAAGAAAATGAGAAGGAGCGTTAGAAATGTGGGTATGTCAGGACAGCTGGTACTTATGACGATCACTCCAACATCGACTCCCAGGATGCATGATACTCTTAGCTTAGCTACAGGAATGGACGCAATTCAGCACGACAGCAATTTCCCAGCAATACTGGTCAAAAGGCCGTGGTTTGAAGCTAGAATCCGATAATGACTCTGTCTAGATTGACAGGTAGAGTCTAAGCGTCGTTGGCAGACTTGTCGTTCAAGGAAAAAAACAGAAGTGCGAGTCGATCGCCTCTCGCTCGTCTGGTTGCAGTCGGCGGTAAAAGGTCGTTTGGCAGTACAGGAGGGTCAGACAAACCTTTGCTTTCAGACAAAATCCAAGCGAAAAATTGCCCAAAATGTAGAGGACGAGTCCTAATTGCGTGGTTGACCTGCTCTTAAAGTAAACTTTTGCCTCAAGCCACGGCTAAATAGACGCAAGAACAAAGCCCCCGACCTTTTGAAGAGACACACGCTACAAAATTTACACACAACTCTTTTCTGTGCGAGCACCGAAGAAGATACCACGAATGAATAGGGGCTATCAGATTACTATAGGAAGGTGCGTCTTTACCGCTGACGAGTCTGGAACTGATCTCTTCAACGAACTATTGATATGTAACTCAGATGTACGACAAAAATCGTGTTGTTTATCTATGCGGTGGAGGACGACGACAAAGACGGTTTCAACGCGTTCAGAATTTCGCACAAAGGCAATAGGCTCAAGACCAAAATACGTGAGATAATGGGATACTTTGCGCTTCATGGTTGTCCCTCGTTCTTGCCGAGGGTAATTTTCTTTATGACAAGCTGCCTCCAAATCCTGCGGTCCATGCAGGCGCCCCAACTGTAGCATGTCGCAGGATCTTAATGTATCATCAATTTCACAGACCATGAAGCCTGCATAGGGAAGGAGCACGACCGAGCGAATCACTATCTTCGAAGTGTGTTGCGTAGAGATCGCATGATGGCACCATACAACTGCCCTGATCGAATCGTCTACAAGGACCACAGGCCCCACATACCTCCGAAAAGATTCTCTATGGAATGATCGTATTGAATGTATAATATAATAATCTGGACCAAGTGGAATGCGAAAGCAAGCCGTGAGTGGGGTTTAATTGGAGGGACCTCAGAAAGATAACTTAACGATAAAGGGAGTGGCAAACCTTTTTGCGGAAAACGAAAAGGTAATGAGTGGGAAAAAGTACAAAATGAGCAACATGATACATTTGTATCTCAAGTCTGATAGAAGCCTTGAGAGCACGGAATTCTGTTCCTTGACAAACATATCTGAAGATGCGGTCGATGAACAGTACACAGGACTTTGTGGTGACTGATACACCTGGAGATGCCGTCCATCAATGGCACACAGGACTCCCTGGTGTTTTTGCAAACTAAATCTCTGTAAAAATCTACCGCATCGATTATTTATCGATACCAGGGCTCATATCGTTGAAAGAGCTTACAGGCAGCCAGCTCTCTGGGCTGTCCCTTGTTGGAACATACATCTTCGTCCTCCAGGTTTATGTGTCCTCGCGTCCTCCCAAACGTCCACGAAATAGGTATCGCCTAAGAGATGTCAAAAAAGTAAAATCGTAAACGTCGGTGATGCGAGTGAGTCCACGACAGTCCCCTCAAGTGTTCGGAAAAGCCTGGGTTCCGGTCCGTGTTTGGCTTTGTGAAGAACGGCAATCCCAAGGCAGACTAGGAGAAGATGAGGAGGAGCGTTACTCCTTTCCTGTGCATGTACACATCCCTTCCTCCCCCACAAACATACGCGCCCAACCGTCTTTCACACGTCTCATACACCACCGCCGTCGCAAATGAAGGGGAAAATTTCTCACGTTTCGCCTATTCCACATGTTCAGGTCGCGTGCTTTGCGTTGGGGTCGTCGTCCTCAAGCGTAGGAGGAGCTGCCGCCTTTGTCTAAGAAACTTTGGTTGTACTCCTAAGAGGACGAGACACGCGTGTACAGTGTGGGACACAAAAGACTGAATCACGACGACTTGTAGCTTTCTTGGGACGAGGATGTCATCCCGGCAGGGATACCGAGCATTGAGTGAGGAAAGCTACGATGTAGAGGCCCTTAGCGGCTTAGACGGTCAAGGTATGACTTTCGGGACTGGCAATAGGTGGAGGAATAGGGTGAAAGAAAGCGTACGGGGGACTCCACAGAGAGGAACGGCCAACGGACGACGAGACACGTGCTAATCTGTCTCTGCTCCCTTTCATATGCCAACCAAAGCAGATGTCCCTCCCACGACCACATCCACCACCACCACCGGAAACGCCACTACTGCCTCCACGTCTGCCACTTCTCCGTCGCTTTCTGCCCCCCTTCCAAGATCATCTCCAGTTTCCCCGCCTGCTCCCTCCCCAGGGCCTAGTGGACCCCCTCAGTTTCCCATACGCATTTTAGACACGCACGGGAAAGAGCATGCCCTGGATGCCGAGAGCCCCTTGTCAACCATCGGCACACTCAAAGTCAAAGTGCAGGCAGCATCCGGTGTATCACCTGCACAGCAGCGTTTGATATTCGCCGGGCGAATGTTGCAAGACCAGCAGACGCTTCGGTCGTGCGGGGTGGAGGCGGGCTGCGTGATCCACTTTCTTCAAGCAGTCCCGCTGCCCGGAGCGCGACTCG